AGCGCTCCCCAGGTTTTGTGTCATGTACGCGTTGCGTGCGCATGAATATTAGTAGTTATAATGAAATTTCAACATGAATATTTGTAGTTATGATGAAATTTCAATCTTTTTAATGCAAAAGATTTTCAACATGTGGCAGATAACTGTGGAAGGGGAGTTTTACCATAAGACCTGTTTCAAGTGTTCTCATGGGGGATGCATACTCACAACATCAAACTATGCTGCATTGAATGGGATTCTCTACTGCAAGCATCACTTTGCTCAGTTGTTCATGGAGAAAGGAAGCTACAACCACTTGATTAAGACTGCTTCGATGAGGAAGAACTCGGCTGAACAGGTGGTCCCACCAGAATTAGACCTGACAGTGGACCCCGCAGCAGAGGCAGAGGCAGGGGGGGGGGGAGACACCAGAATTAGACCTGACAGTGGACCCCGCAGCAGAGGCAGAGGCAGGGGTGGCGAGAGAGACAGAGACACAGCCGGAAGCGGAGACAGAGAGCACTGCAGAATAGTCATAAAGAGGGTGTTTTTTACTTGATTTTTTTCGGTCTAGCTCTAAAAAAAGTTTTTATTTCTTTTTTATCAGCTTTTTTTGGCCTTTTTGCAGATTTTAATATGAAACTCATGAAAACAAGGGGAAAATAAAGTTTGTACTCAGTTGTTACCTGTATTATTGTTGTTGTGATATTGGGGATTATTTGTTTTGAAGAAAGGTGGATGTTTATACGTTGAATTCTTTGCCTGCTGTCGATATTCAAGAGCAAATGCCTCACTATCCCACTAGTGAAATAGAGCCTAATTAAATCTTGTGTAGTTTGTTTGTATATCGGAAAGAAGCTTTTAAAATTTGTATGACGTTCTGATGATGTATGTGACATCCGCGAGTATGCCTTTGTACGTGTAATGTTCTTTCATTGTGATCTAAACTATCTGTTGGCAATAAAGGAATGAATTATGTCTTCGCATACTAGTAGAAGATATTATATAATTCGTTTCTTTTCGTAGTTATCAGATTCAATGTACAAGTTAAATATAGCATCTTTCTATTTATTAGAACTCAAACTCTCTCAAAATCCTGCTCATGACAGAACTCCAACCCGATCAAAACATAACGGAATTACAAAGAGCCAAAGACAAAACCCACCATTAACAAATGTTAATGTGTCATCTGTTGGGAGCCGATACGCCCACCTCGCCGCGGAAGCGAATCACCTTGAGAGAAAACTCTGACTTTTGTTTTCACAAAACACAAGTCAATCTCGATGTTCCTGTTTCGATAATGAAAACAAGGACAGAAGTGAATATCTCAGCAGGGTGAGATATACACTCTTCTCAATATCAGATCTAGGTCTGAATATCGAGGGAACAAACCAACACAAGCAATAACCAATACAATAAGTGAGACACGAGATTTACGTGGTTCAGCAAACTTGCCTACGTCCACGGGAGGGGGTGAAGGGAGATTCCACTATGATGGAGAACACCGACGACTTGCACAACCAGAAAGCTCGTCCCAAAGAGATGATGCTTCGATTTTACCCAAGAAAATATAACATCTTTCTTGTACAATCACTCCAAGTTCTCTCTCTTTTCTCTCCTCAAGATCTCACCTTTTAGATATGAAAAACTCTGTTAAAACTCTCTGCTGCAGCCGACAAAACCCTCTACAGAAACCCTAGAACGAGGTTCCTATTTATATCAAGAAAACATACCCGAAACAGGCCCAGAATGGATCTGGAAACCCGCTGTCACTGTTTACCCGAGACACCATTTAGTGTCTCGNACAGTGCCGAGCCACCAAATGGTGTCTCGCACTGTTCATAATTCTCTACCCCATACATCATTTGATAAACCTCAAATGTTGGACGAACACCATAAGAAACACCGCGAATATCACCAGAGAGATTTGAAATGCCAAACCAGGCTAAAACCAGCTGCACCATTATACCATTGCTGCCCAGCTGCACCATTATATCATGACTGTCTACGTACCCTCTGACCGGGATCAAGCTAATCGTAGTTCTGCATATTGTTCTCAATATAATTCGGATACCAGTCTCTATCTCACCCCATCACCGTCCTTAAGGGTTATGCCCTCTTGGGCAGATCAACACGGGCTGATATGAAACAAGTCCAAACAATGCTAAAACTTGCTACCTATCACCACCTTGGTCAACATGTCTGCGGGATTCTTATTTGTGTATACCTTCATGAGAGAAATATCACCTTCCTCTATGACATCCCGCACAAAATAATACATGATGTCGATATGCTTAGTACAAGCATGATGAACTTGATTCTTAGCCAAATGAATCGCACTCTGGCTATCACACTACAAGTTCACGCAATTCTGCTCAATCCCCAAATCATCTAGAAGACCCCACAACCACAATGCTTCCTTTACTCCCTCTACCATGGTTATATACTCAGCCTCTGTAGTAGAAAGTGTCACTATAGCCTATAACATCGATCGACAACTAACTGGAGCATCATATATTCTGAACACATAACCAGTAGTAGATCGTTGCCTGTCTAGATCGCCCGCATAATTTAAGTCTAAAAACCCATCAATCTGACACGTATCTCCACCAAAATACAAACCCATATTAATGGTATCCTTCAAGTACCTCAAGACCCATTTCACTGCTTCCTAATGCGTTTTTCCCGGATTCGTCATGAAACTACTGGCAACACTGACCGCATGTGAAATATCTGAACGTGTACATACCATTACGTACATCAAACTGCTAACTGCACTAGCATAAGATACACGCTCCATATGTGCCTTCTCTTCTGCTGTAGTGGGAGATTGTTTACCTGAGAGTCTGAAATGTGGAACCACTGGAGTCACCACTGACTTAGCACTTTACATCCCAAACCTTACGATAACCAGCTCAATGTAGTCCTTCTGACTCAAGAATAATCGCTGATTTGCCCGCTCTCTTCTAATCTTCATACCTAGTATTTTTTTAGTAGCGCACATGTCATTCATCTCAAACTCTTTACCAAGTTGAGATTTCAGTCTATTTATCTCCATATTGCTTCTCGAAGCAATAAGCATGTCATCCACATACAAAAAAAGATAGATATAATCATCTCCACGAAGCTTCCGAATATAGACACAACAATCATAATCGTTTTTGGAAAACTCATGCTTTAGCATGAAGGAGTCAAATCACTTGTACCACTGCCGAAGAGATTGTTTTAATTCATAAAGTGATTTCCTCAAGCGACATACCTGATGCTCCTTATCCTCAACCTTGTAACCCTCAGGCTGATGCATATAGATTTCCTCCTCTAAGTCTCCGTGCAAGAATGTTGTTTTAACATCGAGTTGTTTTAGCTCAAGATCACCATGAGCAACAATACTTAATAGCACCCGAATAAAAGTGTGTATCACCACCGAAGAGAAAATCTCATTGTAATCCACACCCTCTTTTTATGCAAATCCCTTAGCTACTAGTCTAACCTTGTACCTTGTACTGCCAAGCTCGGAAGGATCCTCATTTCTATTGTACACCCACTTACAATCAATAGCTTTTTTCCATACGGGCAATGTGACTACCTCCCATGTTTAGTTCTTACTGAGAGATTACATCTCTTCCTCCATCACAACCAACCAATTCTCACTATCCCTATTCCGAATAGCTTCTTTGAAGGTGTCTGGCTCATCATCCTCCACCGAGAGTGCGTACTCAACCAAATTTACCTGCCTATAGTGCTTCAGAGGTTAATCTAACCCCAGCTTCTAATCTTGCTTGTATGCTCACCTTGGCCTAGTGGAAGTCAAACTATCTGCGAGCTGTTGTTGTTGTAATACCTGTATATTTTTTTGCTTAACCTCCTCCTATTCAAGCTCATCATCACTCTTTTCCTGAGTGTCTCCATGATCCACCTCTTGAACACAACTAGAACCTAGTTAGTCTTTAGGTTCTATCTCAATCACCTAGGATTTTAAGGTCCCAATAGTCTCAACACCATCATCCTTGGGTGCCCTAGCTTTAGATAAAGCTATCATGGATTTCTCATCAAAGATAACATCTCTGGTGATCATGAACTTGGAATCTTCTGTACACCAAAGGTGATAGCCTTTTACGTCATTTGCATACCCCAAGACTATTGCCTTCTTAGCCCTCGCGTCAAGTTTTCCCTCGTTGACGTGATAGTAGGATGTACATTCGAAAATCCTGAGCCTATCGTAATCTGCATGCTCCCCTGACTATACCCGATAGAGTACATCACCATCCAATGTCAAATGTGGAGAACGGTTCACTATGTAACAAGCTGTAGTAACCGCTTCTGCCCACCATTCTTTGTCCAAACCAACATATGATCACATACTCATTGCTTTCTCCTACAATGTACGGTTCAGTCTCTCCGCGACTCCATTCTGCTATGATGTAGACCTGACTATCCAGTGTTGAGCAATACCCTCCTGATCACAGAACTTATTAAAAGCATCATATGTATACTATGTACCATTATCAGATCTCAGTGTCTTCAATTTCATACATGTTTTGTTCTCAACCATTACTTTCCACTTCTTGAATGTCTCGAATACCTCATTCTTATGCTTAAGAAAATAAACTCAAGCATACCTAGAATGATCATCTATAAACGAGATAAAATACCTAGAACCGCCCTCGGAAGTTGTCAGAGCCGGACCCCAAATATCTGTATGCACATAGTCTAATATACATCTGCTCTTGTGCTTACTTTTTAAGAAATGGACCCTGTGCATCTTTCTGTACACACAATCCTTGCAAAAATTCATGCAAGGTTTCTTCATGTTCTTAGCAAACCTTCCTTACCAAGCAGATCTAGACCCTTCTCTGACATGTGCTCAAACCGCCTATGCCATAACTGAATGTGCTCATATGGATCTCTATCACTTCCATCAGTTCCAACTGCTGCATTTCCTGTCACTGTCGTACCTGAGAGAGTATATAGGTTACCGTGACGAATGCCCTTCATTACTACCAGGGAACCTCGGACAACCTTCTTCACTCTGTTCTTTGTAACTATCTTATAGCCACCGGAGTTCAAAACACCAACTGAGATAAGATTCTTTCGCAAGTCAGGAACATGCCTCACATCCGTTAGGGTTCTGACCACTCCATCATGCATCTTGATTTTGATATCACCAAGCTCCATCGTTTTACAAGCATGGTTATTCCCCATCAATACGATTCCACCATTAATGCTCCTAAAGGCAGTAAACCACTTCCTATTTGGACACATATGATAAGAGCAACCCGAATCAAGAATCCACTTACCGGAGATATCTTCACCACACGTAACAGTATAGCATTCTTTTTCACTCCCTTCTTCCAAGACATAACTCGCCTCTTCCTTACCTTCTCTTCTCTTGATTTTATTGTTGTTCTTCTTCTCACCTACTCTCTTGTTAGGATAGTCAACTTTAAAATGCACAAGCTCACAGTATTTAAAACACGGTCTTCCTACAAGAGGTCTCGATTTCGATCTAGACTTTCCTCCATTGCCTTTTCCTCGCTCATTGCTCTTTTCTCTTACAAACAGTCCCATGTGCATGCTCCTTGTTACCACTAGTAACCATATCACTAATTGTAATTTTTCAAAGATCATCTGCTAGAAGCGTCGTTCTAGTCTCATCCATCTTTAAATTGTCACTTACAAACATCAATGTTTGTACCAGGTTCTCATAAGACTTCGGTAAAGAAAGAAGTAGTAGAAGTGCTTAATCATCATCTT